CGCTGGGCTCAGAGGGAGCGTCTGAGTGAGTCCGTGCGCGGGCCCTTTAGAGGAGCTGCTGGGGCTCCCACAGCCTCCGCGACCCTCAGCCACAGTTCCCTCTGGTTTCACAGCCTGAAGCTGTGGGGATGTCTCTTCCCGGCCTGGAGCCCTGGGCTGGGGGCTGCTGTGGGGCTGGGACCCCTCCCTCCTCTGGGAAACCTCCACCCTGAGATTCCGTCCCGGGTTTAATCGGCAGCACCGGGTGTGGGCCCGCAGCCGGGTCTCCCCAATTCAGCCCCGATCCGCCCATGTCTCCGCCCCTCCTACCGGTCTCGGTGCTTGTTCATTCCCCTGGTTGTCGCGCTTCTGTTCAGCCAGATTCCGGGAGGCTCTGAGTGATGGCGCTTCTGTATTTTAGCTGTAATTTCGGTGTGGCTGCGGGCGGCGGCGGGTGCAGCTGTTCCCTGCGCCGCCATCTTGGTTCCTCTCGGTACCGCCTTTTTAAATGGGCGAGGGAATGCTCAGCCTGCGACGCAGATCTGACGGAGTTTCACCCAACACCAGAGAGCCCCAGAGCAAAAAGAGCCACCATAGGAACCCAGTGTTGGGCAGAGATCACCAGGCCCTAGTCTCTCTGCTGGCTCAGTAATTGCCCGGGGCTACCCAAGAAGAGCATGGCATTGGTTCAAAAGCTGAGATGGAGCTCGAAGTTGCTAAAAGTGAGACAATATCTGCTAATTGCAGCCCAATGAGTTCTTTCATGAAGAAAGAACCAAGTGACACCCACCCACGGCTGACACAAGGATGGACCAGGCTTCTTCCCAGGTGGTCCTGGGGCCGAGTTCTAAAAGGGTGTGAACAGAAGCACACAAGACCCCTTGAGTCTTACTGAGGCTTCAGAATCCACCTTACTTCTACCATGTTCTATTGGTCAAAGCAAGTCAATAGGCCAGCTCTGAGTCAAGGGTGAGGAAATAGATTTCACCTCCGGGTCGGAAGGAATGGCAAAGTCTCAATAAAAGAGGTGTGCTTACAGGGATGGGCTCGATTATTGTGGCCATCTTTGCCAACAATCTACCACAGCCAATATTTTTTAATCTTTACTATGCACAAGGCATATTAAATCCTAATGAGATAAGTTCTATTATTATCTTAATTTTATAACACAGGAAAACTGGGGCAAGAGAGGTTTAATAGCTTGACCAGGCTTGCACAGCTGGGAAGTGGAGGAGACAGGTTTTGGATGGAGGCCTAAGGGATAGCAAGTGCAGTTCACGGGCCTGCACCTTTTCTGAATGACATGCTCCGTCATGGCAGAAGCTGTGACAGCTTCATCTCTGTATGTCTGGCTCCTGGGCAGTGCCGGGCGCATGGAAGACTCAGTGACAGAAGTACAAGTGAATCAGTTAGGAAGCCTTTAATTTCAGTATAAACAATGAGAACATATATTATCCCACTTAATAGTGGGCCTGGAGATTGGTAGTTTTAGAGTTGGTTAATTAAATGTTTTATCAATGTCAGAGTCCTGAGTCATTTTTTCTATTTATTTGGTTTTCTCCTCATGCTTGCACAATGACTGCCTCTGCTCCAGACATCGTCAGGGTAGGAGCCTATTCAAAGAAGAAAGGGGTGGGATTGCTCTTCCTCAAATTTCTATTTTATCAGGAGGGAAAATCTTTCCCAAACGCATGTCAGAAACTTTCCTTACATCCCATCAGTCAGAACTGGGTTATATGTCCACCTCCAAAGAAATCACTGGCAAAAAGGGAGAAGATTATCATGATGATTTTCAACCGGTGTGCAGCAAGACTTTTTAAAACATGCAACACCTGATTCTTTAGCCAGGGACACTCACCTCTTTTCCCTTAGATTGTCAAATTAAAAAAAAATGACAACAGCCAACACAACAACAGCTCTCCAGTGTGAGTGAATCAGAATTATACCTGCTTTTTTTCTGTCAGATTGGCGAAGAATACAATATATTTCCAGTGTGCGGCAGGATTTTAGTCGTTATTTGATGTGTACCACCAGATGAAAAAGGTTGAAAATCACTGGTTTAGACAAAGTGGTTTTGAATAACAGAGGAACCGGGATTCAATTAGCAAGGACAAAGGAGAAATTACGGCAGGCCACCGAAACGTCTGGCACAGTGTCATAGTGGCTTTGGCCCTGAGGGTTTTGAACCTTCAGAGAAGGGTTCGAACCCCTGTTTCTCCACTTCGTGGCTCTGTGATCTTGTACAAATAACTGAATATCTCTGAGCCTCAGTGCTAACGTGGGGGATGTTAGTATCTATCCCGTACGTTTGTTGGAAGGATTAAAACAGGTACTGCATATGAATGCTTGGCTTAGGACCTGGCACATAGTACATATTCTCAAGTGGCAGCGATTAGCTGTATATTGAACTGCATTGTCTCATCGAATGTGTAAGGGTGGGACCCAAGAAGACTGGCAGTTAACACAATAAATAGAAGGGGTTCCCATGAATCACACTGTCCTTTCAAAGGAGTCATGGGTACAAGTGCACGCTTGAACCACACACTCATTCATCCATCAGACCTTCCGTGCGCTCCCGGTAAGCACTCCTTTCCTGGTTAAAGAGTGCAGGAATGAAGCAGGCCTGGCCTATGTCCTTGAGGACTTCACGGACCACTCAGAATTGCCTTCAGGGTCCATTGTGTCAGCGGTGCAGGTGTGCTGCCCAGCGCTCCTTCAGTAAAAATAATGTGCCGATTATCTGCACAGAGTGCACCCACAGCACGTCCAAGGCCTGCCTCAGCTCTTGAGCCGAGGCCGCGATCGAGGGCAGCAGCAGCCGTGAACAAGCATGGCCATTTCTGCCCATGTGACTTCCCAAGTGGGGTAGAAGAGTGTTATTAGATATAAGACCCGTGTGCCTGGGATTGATTAAAAACTCCACATGAATTTTCAGTGTCACAACTTAGGAATCGTTCTCCAGGGTAGGAACCCAAGGGCAGGGATCATGCTGTTGTTGATTTTTAATCTCTTTGGAGCCCGTGCTCAACCCAGAGCCTGGCACAAAGTAAGCACTCAGGAAATGCTTGCTGACAAGGCTAATGCTTGAGAGAATTTAGGTCTTGGGCAGGCCTCACAGGAATGGGAGGAAATGGAAACCTCTGGATTTCTTTTTATCAGAAACCAGAGCAGAAGTCTATTTCACCCTCTCCCTCCTCACTGGGGACTGGCGCAAAGGGTCTGAGGAAGAGTGGAGCACCCCATCTCCAGGCCAAGTCAAGGGACAAGGCCCCAAGGACCACTGGAGAGAGTGGCGAAGCTTCAAGAGGAGAGACACACAGGAGAGGCCCACTGTGCTGCAGAGACTGGAGGGTCAGCTGTGTCCAGACACCAGAGCTGGCTGGAGATCCTGACATCAGGAGCTGGGCAGGTGATAGACTCAGGTTCTTGTGCTGGCTGCCCCCAGGGACATCCTAGAGATGGGAAGCTAGGGCCGAAGCAGCTTGAGATGTAGCAGGAGGAGAGGGGGTCACTGGGTCAGCTGCTTACCCATTGTTTGGTGAGGCAAGGATGTATGAGCGTCCCACGGGCAGTGGACCCCATGAAGGGACTGGGTTCAAGCATGAAAGCACCACAACTCCCAGCGCAGAGAGAGGTAATGGGGTGAACCTCTGGGGGCTGACACTGAGGGGCATGTTACCCACATCAGGGAACATGTGGTGCAGAAAGCCTGCATTCATATGCCGGCCACACAGAGGGCATCGCTGGCCACGCTGCATGGGCACTGGTTTTTTTTCCTAATTCCCTCTCTCCCTGCTCCAACTCAGAAGGAGCAGGCAGCACGTGGGAGGAGGGGAAGGAAGCTGAGAAATGGACAGTGCCTCCTTCTGCAAGCCTGTGTCGGGTTGGAGCTGAGCATAGGGCGGAAGCTTTGAGCTGGACATGAGGTTGGACTGGTCCCTTAAATTCAGAAAGTGAGGTGTGATTGCCAAAATGGGATTCGTCAGGGAAGCTATGGGATCTGCTTGGGGTTATTTCAAGGGGCAGAGACTGAGAGACCATCAGAGTGTGTGTGAAGGCAGAGAAGGCTCTGTTGAGTTAGCCATGCTGAGGCCACTGGAAGCGGCACATGCTCTCGGCTGCAAGAGGGGGAGTGTGGCACGAGGAGGAAAGAGCCCACATGAACAGAGGCCAGGCCACCACAGGCACCTGCTCTGCTAAAGACTTCTAGTGAAGACTCTGAAGTCCCTTCTCACTGTGACACTTGTAAAGGGCCCTAAAAGCGAGTGCTTGGCCACACAGCTCTCCAAGCCTGCGTGACAAGGAGCTCCCTCCCAAGGCAGCCTAATCTAGTTTTGGACCTCATATTAAAAAGTTTTCCTAAGATGACTTGAAACATCTCCCTAGTTTTGCATCTGGAGCCACACAGAATAAGCCCACTCTCTTTGGATGTTGGAACATGGAGAACAAGCCTTCCCAAGGTCACCCTTTCTCAGGAAGGACATGGTTCCAGCCCCTCTCTCCTTCCCCACCACCTTAGGCAAAGAAGTAGTCTTATAGAGTCAGTGCTGTGTGGTTGTGCTCTTGTTAACATTTATTTTGAGTGTAAGGGTATGAGTGCCACAATAGATGGCTAACCATCCCCTCCTCTCCACAGTGACCAGAGGGAGGAGCAGGAATGTCCCAACTGCAGGCTAGGGATCTGCAAACAGTCCAGACCGTCTTCCTCCCTGTATCCACTCAGAGAGTCGCCGGGTCAGGTGCCACTCATCCTGTTGCACTGATGGGTGAGAGTGCTGAGCAGGGCCATGGGGCTCACAAAGCAGGCAGCCACAGAGAGAAACAGCCAGAGAACTTGCAAAAGTGACCAAGTCTCAGGCCCGGGTGGAGCCAGCCCAGCCTGGGAGTGAGAGAGGGGGTGTGTTGGAGGCTGGAGCTCCCTGTCCAGGCAGCCTCGGGGGATGGAGTGGGTTTCCCAGGCTGGACAGGCGAGCCCTGCCTGCTCTGTGGTACCCAAGTTTGTACGGGGCCACTTGGGCCCTTCACTCTGCCACGTCGACAGACAGCATGGCCTTGATTGCAGGGAACTTGTTGCAGGAGAAGTCAGCGAGCAGCTGCTTGGTGCCACTCCGGGTGGGCAGGATCTCAAAACGTACCCGGGACCGCTCCTTGGGGCGCAGGGTTGGCACACTGGTGGGGAAGGGCATGGATCAGTGTTGGTGAGATCCACAGACCTCAGGCTGGAGAGGCCTCTGTGGCCTCAAGTCCTGCTCTGATTGGGGCTGGGCAAGGTCATTGCTTCTTTAGCTCCCTCTAGCTGCTGCCCTGGGTCACTGGGCCCCTCCAGCCCTTGGACACATCAGTGGGGGTAGTGGGGGTCTCCTGATCTCCCAAATATGCTAAACCCTGAGGAACAGCTCCAAGCTCTGGTGACTCTGACTTCCCAGGAGTTCAGGTTAGGGGAGCCCCCCCAACCAAATGCCAGTGTGTATGCCTGTGGGCAGATTCCTGAGCCCTGGTGTTAGAGAAGCTCTCTGCGCCCTACTCGGGGAGGGCCCCTGACCCCCTCCTGCCCTGCCACATGGGCCCTTAGGCCTGAGACTCACTCGATCTTGAGGCTGCCCAGCAGCAGGCCGCTCCCCTCTACCATCAGCACGCAGTTCTTCACTGGCTCATCTAGCGGGTTGGAGAAGAGCATCTGCACGTTCACGGGCTTCCGTACCTGGGCCTGGTCCAGCAGCTACAGGGAGAAAGGTGGGTGGAGTCACCTGCCACTCAGTGAGAGCTGACGGGCTGGGCGGGCGACTTGGTGATGGGGAAGATGTCACTGAGGACCAAGACAGGGAGGACTGTCTGTTTAGTCCTGTTAAGTGCCAGCAACAACCATGCAGGGGGTTTGTAGGAGATTGCTATGACCCCTATGCTACAGACAGGACTCCCAGGCTTAGGGGGCGAGGTGGAAGAGAGCGCTTTAACCTCCCAGCCAGGTTCACAGGCCCCTTTTCCAGTTCATCCTGAGAAGGGCAACCGCTTCTTCTCAGGATGGCCTGGCTCCTCTGCAGGTCGCTCTGAGGGTTGGGAGAGGTTTCATCCTGAACTCAATGACAGTACTTTTCTTGAAACTCCGCTCACTGGTTCTTTTTCCCTTCCAGCCTGAAAGCTGCTTCCTGGGAGGCTCCAGCTTGCTCAGATCTGCTCCTCTCCACAGGACACAGCATTGGGCCGCCACCTAAATTCAGGCCATTCTCCTCTGATGACACCCAGTCTAGCAGTGTCCTTCTAAACATTTAGAGCCCGGAATGTCCCCACATGTCATGTTGTGGTCTGGGCAGGGCTCCAACATGGCACCGTCTTTGATCAGGGGCCAGAGAAGCCTAGGTTTCCGGTCAGAAAAGCAACCTGGACGGTTCGTGTGCTCCCCAGGATGAACTCTGAGTCTGCCAAGGAGCAGATACAACTGGGCCTCAACTTCCTCATCGAAAAACAAACTAGTCATTCCCTCCTGCCTCCTTCCGGGCTTGGAGGGACCAGGCGAGACCACGGGTGGGAGGAAAAGCAGAAATTGTGTGGCTGGTGGATTTCTTTTCTTCTTTTGAGGATCGCAACAGGGGGCTGCTTTGGCGTTTGGTTTTTCCTTTTGTCACTAATCCTCGTAGCAGCCATTTTACGGTAAGAAAGCTGCAGCTCAGACAGATTGAATGTCAGGGCCCCCCAGCTTCCAGAGCCTCTGCTCTCCTTGCTGGGCCCTGCAATGCCTACCAATAACTTGTACATAATCGAAACATTTTTGAGACCATGATCCACACCATAATCTCTCCCATGGGACTCATTTATGAATGTGACATAATTTGAAGGGCGAAGCCTAATTTTATGCCATTGGGTTACAACAAGGCTGCATTTTGCGTGTTCACATTCAAGTTGAGGTTCCCGTGTGTTTGTTTTTCTTTCTTTATTGCTGTTTACCACTCTGTCCTACTGACCCACATCTACACATGCACCCACAGCAGAGGATGAGGGCTGCCAGAAACCTGTATCTGATGGTCAGTGGTTCATGGGTTAATGAAAGGCATCACAATATTTAGATCTCATGCTCTGATTCTATAGTGGAAGGTCCTCAGTGCTAACTGCCCATCAGTACCAGATAGGATAATGGAGTTTTACCCAAGTTATTATCTTTCCATACAGATCACCCTCAGGAGTTTAAAAATCTGCACCCTGCTCTGAATGAGCTATGCATTGGTTCATTCAATTGAGACAAGAATGTCTTGATTCTCCAAAGGCCAAAGCAGAGGGGAGAATGTGTTGGGAGGAAGTTCACACAAAGATGCCCCAAAGTAGAAAGAGCAGATGTTTTTTAACAAGATTCAATAAGAAAGTTCTCGATGGCACATTTCCGGCCTAGGTGTATTCTGATTTCCTTTCTAAAGATTTTATAGACTCTTTAAAGACAAAACAGACTTGATGTGGAGATCCCAGAGATGTAACCGAAAGTGTTGAATAAAAGATAACGCTATGAGAAAAGACAAGGATATTGAATAAGGGAATATAATGGAGGAAACCTAATTTCATTTAAACACTGATCATTTTAACATGGGGTGTTTTCATAACTGGATTGGCTGCTACCCAGCCTCGTTTCCCAGCCTCGGAAGCGGGAATCAGCACTTGCTGCCCATCATGTCTACAGGGACACAGTGTTCCTCACAAATGCCCTGGGAAGTAGGAGAGGCCTTAGCACGCAGGGGACAAGCATGGACTGACAGTGAAAACGCCCTGGGTGGCCAAGAATGCACACCAGGAGCCAAGGTCTCTGTGCCAGTGGAGAGGGCTGTTTCTGTTTTACAAATACTGATTATTATCTAAGATATTCTACCAAGGGAGGCAGCGATGGGCTTGGAGCAGGGGGAGCGCCTCCTCTCCTAGAGTTTATGTCTGGTAGGAGACTGCCACCAAGCAATTGCACAAATAAAGGGATAGCTTCAACTAGGACAGATGCTGTGAGGTAAGGGGACACAGGCTCTGAGGGAGTTTAACTGGGGGCCAGGCCTAATCCGAGGAAGGGGTGGAATGTCAGGAAAGTCTTCCCTGAGAAAAGGATACCCTGCAAGGGAAGTGTTTTGTTATCCCCATGACTCAGTTGGAGCAACTGAGAAGCAGAGACTAAGGGACTTATTCAGGGTCACTGCTGATAAATGGTGGGACCTGGATACAAGGTTATAGGCTCAGCATCTGAACTACTGCCCTGCTTAGCTTTCCCCCCAACTGGCCTTCCAGCCACTGGCTCCCTAGCCTGGAGGTGGGGGACCACCCCGCTCATTGTAAAGCACAGATCAGACTAACTGGGACAGTGAAAGGGCTCAGTCACAGGCTAACTGCATGGGAGTGGGAACCCTGGGTTCCCCTGACTTCTGTCTGAAGCCAGGAATCCCTGCAGCTAGGGTGCAGCTTAGGCAAGAGTAGGACCAGGGCAGCCACAATTATCCAGCTCTTTCAGAAATCTGTGACTTGGGAGGCTGATGGCATTGTGATAGAATAGAAAAAAGCACTAACTGTCTAGACAGGTGAGGCAGGTGGTAGATACAACAGACGCCTGATCCATGAGGCTCTCTGTGGGACCTCATGGGAAGACCCCAACTCTTCTGCCTGTCCTTGCCTGCCAGTTGTCTGGCTGTGGTGGCCTCCAGCCTGGGGTGGGGGCCGGTAGGACCCAGGGGCTGGAGGAGGAGGGACAGGCTTGGAGTCAGCACAAGTATTTTTGGCCTTGGTTCTGAGGAAAGGACCAAGTGGTCCTAGGTCCCTCCTACAGACCTGTAAGCTCCCACAGCCTGGGCTCCTGGGAGGGAACCTGGGAGCAGAGCTCGTAACCAGAAGGAGAGACAGAGGCAGACTCGTTCTCAGCCACTTTGAACAAGCTGCTGCTGGCTACAGACACGCCTGGGTGCCCTGAAAAGGGCCCTGGGCTGGGAGTCCCAGGGCCTGAGGTTTCACCCTGGCTCTGCCGGTAACTGGCTTTTTCCTGCTCTTCTCTGGGCTTCGAGATGGCAGAGTATGGGTGCATGAAAATTGTTTCCTAAGAGTCCACTGTTCTGTAACTCTGGGGTCTGGGGAATGGAGAGATGCACTTGAGTTGTGCCCATTTCTGATCTGTTCCACAAATGTGTCTGGGGACTGGGCTGTGGGCTCCCTTCTGGCAGGATCTGCCCCTGTGCCCTTCTCTGATTCCTGAGCCTGGCATGGCCCAGGACACAGCAGATGCTCAGAGCTGAGTGGGTGCATGAGTGAACGGAAGAGTCTCTCCAGCCACCCCTCAGCTGGTACTCCCAGTGGGTCTAGAACTGGAACTAAAGAAGCCACAGGGCAATGTGCCTGTTTATCTCATGTCAGGGAGCAAGGATATTGGTCTGAGTGAGATCTCTTGGCTGATCCATTTGGCAGAGGCTGGACCCGAGCTGGGCTCAGTCCTCTGGCCCTTCCTGCAGGGAAGGACCTTCCTTGTGGTCTGGGAGGACAGCAGCTCATGGCGGTTGGCTGGCTGGGAGGCACCCCCTCACCACCCCTTTACCTCCAGGGTCAGAGTGGGGTTGTCCAGGATGATGTCCCTCTCCACCACCACCTCGGCCTCGTCGGAAGCCTGGCACACGGCCGTGGTCCGGATCATGTTGTCCGCCTTCAGGTACTTCTCGTACTGAGCATATGTGATCTTCACGGGCTGCATCACTTCTGCAAGGAGAAGCCAGGGGGCCAGAGTGAGAGGGAGCCAAGTTGGCTTCTGAAACCTTCAGAGCTGATGCCAAGCCAAGTCAGCACTAGCCAGCCAGGAAGATCTGTAGCCCAGGGCTTGACTGAGCCCTCCCTGGGCCAGGCCCTGTAGGAAACACCCCACCCTGTCCTGTGCAGGCTCCAGGCAGGGACCAGGGAGAGGCCAGGACTCTGGCTGGCTGGGCAGATTCCCAGGAGGATGGGCTTGGAGGGGCTGAAGCTTCTTCCACATCCAGAAAATGTAGGAGGGCAGGTTTCCTTCTAAAGTGCAGGGGAAGAATGCAAATGCTAACTTATTGTCTAGTGGCGATAACGATAATGATGACGGCACAGTAATAACTAGGAAGGGAAGCCAGGGGTTGGCAAAATGAGTGCTTAGGGGCCTCTCAGGTCATCTAGTAGCCTGGGATTCTATTGTGGCAGCATCCGAACCACCTCCCCACCTCTGGTCTCTCCCGCTTCCTGTCTTCCACACACATCAGTGAGACAAGCTCTAAAAGAACCCTCCCCCCCCATGTCACTCCTCTTCCACGTCATTTCAAAAATCTTCCGTGGCTCTTTGCTGAATAAAGCTCAGACGCCTCAACCTGGCCCTGCATCACTGAGCCCTTCACCTCTCTCTTAAAAGAACCTCTGGCCTGGCTGGCATGGCTCAGTGGTTGAGTGTCAACCTATGAACCAGGAGTTGGGGGGTTCGATTCCCAGTCAGGGCACATGCCCCAGTTGCAGGCTCGATCCTCAGGTGGGGGCAAGCAGGAGGCAGCTGATCAATGACTCTCTCATCATTGATGTTTCTCTTTCCCTCTCCCTTCCTCTCTCTGAAATCAATAAAAACATACTAAAAATAATAAAAAAAGAATCTCTGTGCTCCTCATTGTTCCTTCTACAAAGTGGGCAATTGTCACCTCCCTGCTTTGACTCACACAGTTCCCTCAGATGGAAATGCCTTCCCCAGCTTTTCTCCATTTATCTGGCTACTCCCCAAGCTTCAGGGTCCTCTCTGGCACTGCAGACCACAGGCACCTCTTCCTCCTCTGTGGTCCAGGGCACTCCCACCTCTACTTCATGTGGTCATGCTGGGTGGCTGAGGGGTGCCCCAGCACCCAGTGTCATATACCCTCTGAGGTAAGACTGAGGAGGAAGCTGCCTCTGTTTTAGTGCTGGGGGAATGTGCACAGTCAGCCCCAATGTGGGGACAACAGGCCCTTGTGCCACTGGTCCAACCCTCTCAGACAGTGAACACCTAGCTCCCTCCTGAAAAGGGTGGGGGACTAACAGGGTCACCCAGAAAGTAGGTTACAGCATCAGGCCTCCAAGACCACTTTATCTGCTTCCTCCCCCTTGCCATGTCACTCTGCTACCTCTTGCAGAAGTATATAATTTTTGGAACCATTTCCTTCATGTGAATTATTTTTGGTCTATAAAACTAGCCTTGAGCCGGAAAGTAAACAACAGCCAGGCAGCTGCTTCTGGTAAAATTCTGCAAGAAGTCAGGTTGCTGGGGGAATGCTGCCCTCTGACAGGTGTGACACGTCTCAGGTTCTCTGCAGACAGAATTCTTTCAAGATGGGCTGTATAATTAACCAGCTTTTATTAGTTCCTGCTGTGGAGCAAAGAGCTACCCCACCCTTGTTAAGCTGCTTTGTAAATTCCAACTTTTCATAACAGCTTTAGAGATTTTGCCAATGTGGGCACACCTGCATTCTAATCCCTGCCCGGTACCAGGCTTTCTCTGCTCCACCTGTTCCCTTTTTGTCTTTGCTACCCAGGAGCAAGGAGTCACCGTTCCTCCCAAATCCTCAGACCTCCAAGGAAATCCATCACGGTCATCGGGCAACTCCACTCACCCCCTCGCAGCTGTGGGGGGACGTTGGGCGAGGGTTCAAGACCCCATGGAATATTGCAAGCCTTCTAGGGTCAAACCTTAAAATTGATTCATCGTGGGGTAGGGTGAGTGTGGCAGCTACACATCCTAGATGATGAGGTTAGCACTGGACCAAGACCCTGGCATTGTCACTTACTAGCTATAACACTTAATTTCTTAAGCGAGTCATAATCTCTCTAAGCATCAGTTTTGGCTTCTGTAAAATGGGGATACTGGAATCTATTATTTTTTAGGTCAAGTGAAGTAGTATATAAGGAAGTACTCTGCACACTGTGGGAAGTGGTATAAACCTGTGAGGCAGCGATTTTCAACCTTTTGCATCTCATGGCACACACAATTAAATTACTAAAATTCTACAGCACACCAAAAACAAAATTACATTTTTTGCTGACCTGACCAAAAAAAAAAAATAGGTGTAATTCTGATTCATTCATACCAGACGACTTTGCTGTTTTGGTTGCTGTCATTTTTTATTTGGCAATCTAAGGATCTAAGGGGAAGGAGGTCAGTTTTAAACAGGTACGGCATGTTTTAAAAATTCTTGCGGCACACCAGTGTGCCGTGGCACACCAGTTGAAAATCGCTGCTGTAAGGGATAATGCGGTATGTCTATTACTTCCCAAGCCTCCCTCCTTCCTTGCCCAGGGCATAAAAGAATTTGGGTTGGCACCACCCTGACTTGCACTGTTTGCCGCAACAGCAATTTCCAAAACCTCAAAACCCAAGGCTTGCCTGGCCGGGCGTGGCTCAGCGGTTGAGCATCAATCTAGGATCCAAGATCGCAGTTCGATTCCCGGTCAGGGCACATGTCCAGGTTGCGGGCTGGATCCCCAGTTGGGGGCGTGCAGGAGGCAGCCGATCAATGACAACTCACTCATCATTGATGTTTCTCTCTCTCTCTCCCCCTCTTCCTTTCTCTCTCTCCCTCTCTGAAATCAATAAAAGATATATCAAGAACAAAAAACAAAACCAAACAAAAACCTTAAGGCTTAACCACAGAGACTGTGGGCTGCTCCATCCCTAGACGACTGAGTCAGTTCCAATACGAACACTCCAACCCCAATAGAATATCAGTGACCTTGGCTACATGGTGCCTTAACCACCGATAGGACAAGTTACCTTCTTCAGGGTCCAGAGAGATTGTGATGGAGTCCTTCCACACCTCGTGGACAAGTGTGCCGTTGTAGACAATGGTCCAGGCCGTCATGTTCACCGTCACGGTCTTTATGTCACGTGTCAGGTTTTTGAGCATCAGGGCCAGGTTGACTTCTTTGCCCACTGCCAGAATGCCAGTGACCTTGAACACCCCAGAAATGCTGGGCTCCCGCTCGTCTCTTTCGACCTCTGTTGCAGATGTTGGGCCGAATGTTCTGCTGGGTTTAAGTTTCCCCAGTGCCTTGTCAAACACTTGTCTTTCCTGTCTGGAGCCTGTGTAGGGGAAAGAGAAGCATGTCAGAGACAGGGTGGCAACTTGGACAAAGGACAGCGCCCCGTCTGGAAAGGTGGCCTGGGACGAACACTGGTCCTACTGCTAAACAAAGATTCTGGCTGACCTCTCCAGGCCTCTGTTTCACGCCCTGTAACTTGAGGCTCACAGACCAGCTGGTCTAGGGCGCTTTTCCCATCAGCTCTACATGTCCAGGGAGCTCTATCAGCAACTGTGTAAGATTACTCTCTGACTCGATATTTTACTTGCTTAGGCCAATTAAGTTAGATTTATTTATTTACTTTTGGATAGAAAGTCTCTTGTAAGACTTAAAGAACAAACAGATAATTTAAAAATAAATAAAAACTGAGCTGAAAAGGTTAGAATGAGTTCATAAGCAAAAAAAGGCTATGATTTAGCATCGACTTCATTAAATTTTTTTTCATACCACTAAACCATGTTGCTCTGCTTTGTTTCTGGAGGTGCTTTAGGAGTTGAAGAGCAGCATTTTGTCCATGCCAATTGACAAGAATGTCCCATGGTTGGTATGGTTCCAAGTTATGATTGGTTTAAATTGGCAAGAGGGTTCAGGTTTCAAAAACACAAAGGACTGCTTTTCTGACTCTGAATCGTATTGTGGATCCTGCTGAATGTGATGGTATAAACAGCCTCAGGAGAATGGCCATGATGTGCATTCGAGATCATGGCTGTTAGGCACCGAGAGCTGCGTAGCCAGCTCCACACATCCGAGCCAGTGTTGACAGCTCGGTTCACATTGGGCTCCCTGCCTTGACCTGAAGACAGATCCACTATCAATGAGAAGGCATTGACCTTCCAGGAACACGAAACACGGAACACAGATAGAGGTCCACAAAGAATTACCATGTTTATATCTGTAGACCATACTCATGGCCCCACCTTCCCAACCAACCTGTGAAATTTTTAAGACACCAGATGACTTATTATAAGCACTTTACAACTTAATGAGGTCTTTCCCATAAGTTACATGGCTGAGACCTCAGGCCCACTCATTTAAACCCATCACGTTAGAATTAAGGTGCTAAGAGGGGAAGAGACTGGCCCAAGTGATAGTCTAATCCGGGGATTAGAGGCAGAGAGAGAGCCAGTCCTCAGGACCCACAGCCCAAGGTTCCTCCCACACACCCTTCTGAAAAGGAGGCAGGCAGCCTGATTGCCCAAGCTGATAGCTCCTGGTGGGCTGGGTTTCTTTTGGTGCCTTCCCAGTGTCTAGCTGAGCTGTAAGTCCACACCCAGGGCTGATGTCTATGTCGGAGCGGAGCCCTCTGTGCCCAGGACCTTGAAGCAGGCGTGTTTGTACAATGAGGTTCCGAGCCCAGATACCTATATAGGTCACCTGCTGGGCTTACTCAAGACTAAGCTTCCTGCTACTGTTTTCTCCTTTGGTGTTGCTATTGTGCAAATGCTTAGCAACCCATTTTATGGGCTCTTCCTCCCTGGGGCCCTCAGAGACAAACTGGCATCATTAGGTAAGGAAAACTGGGCAACAGCAGGCAGGATGATGAGCCCCGCTGTCACGAAGGGGCTAGAGCGCTGCCAGGAGTCCCGCAGGGATTCCCCAAACCTAGCTACAACCTGTCCCCATTCCATTGCTTAGGAGGTTGGACTGGGACAGCCAGAGCATCCAAGATGTGACAGTAAGGTAAGACGCCCCACAGAATCATATATCCATGTAAGCGGTGCACTTCAAAAGTCACCTTGGGATGTCATTATTCCAGTGAGTCTGCAGATGTTTACGTTGTTAAAACTCACCACTATTTATTAAGCCCTCACTCTGTGCCAGGCACTGCACTTGGCAGTTTATTGACGGCTCATTTGTACTGATGACAGACATTGCTGCTCATTTCACAAGTGAGGAAAGGAGGGCTCAGGGATCCTAAGAACCCTGCACAGTTCTGAGTGGTAGGACTGGGGTTCACTTCCTGCTGTGGGTGATTTGTTCCCGGGCTTCTACACTTGTTTCAACATCATGACATTGTAGAAAATGCTCATCCTAGCTCTGCCTTCTCCTGGCCTGTGAGCCCTGCAAGGGCAGGGCCCCCATATGAGCGATCTTTGTTGCCTCCCTAGAGCTGAGCACAGAGCAGGCACTTGGGAAGGTCTCAGTCCATGTTTATCAACTGAGAGAAGGGTCATTTGACCCCAACAGTAGAGACAGATGGGGCCAAATTGAGGCCACCAATCTCATTGCCCTAGAGTTGTGCCTCAAAACGTCCACAAATACCACTGCCCAGAGGGTCATCTGCTTGAACTTGGAGTCCGACCCCATCTCCTGAGCTCAGCTTTCCTCTTAAGAAAATGGCAGCCAGCAGTTGCACAAGCTAAGGTTTATTCGGAATGTACTGTGGGCACCCTTACGAAAGCACCTTTCTTCACCTCAGAACCAACTGGGAGGATCCCCTAAAGCTGCTATTTCAAAGTATTTTAGAGAGAGTGTAACACTGGCCCTACTAAGGAGCCACTGCGGCCTGCTACAGCAAGCGCTGATTTACTTTCGGCTATTTCTAAAAACGAACATCACCTTCAAATGTAGAACTTTTGTCACTATTGAGAATTCTCAAAGAGATAGGCTGCTGACTCCAACAGCAATTTTCAAAATAGAGCAACAAATGTCATTTGAGATAAAGGCAGCCTCACAGTGACTAGTCTACAGTGACTTTGGGGGTGGGCAGCACCCACGTGGATGCTGATTTCGGGGACTCGGGCATTCTCCTCACAATGCAGTCCCACCTCCTCTGGCTTCTTGGGAGGCCTCTGAAGTGTACAGAGCAAAGCCCTGTGTCTTTGGGGTCTTTGTCCAGTTCTTTGTTCAGATCGTGTTTCCTGCCTGCGTTTCTTGGAGGCTAGGGGAGTGGGCTGGCTGAACACTGCCTCCTAAAGCCCCCAGGGGTTTCCCATGAGGCGATCTCTCTCCCTGTGTGTTCAATCACAGTGCTGTCACCCCATTTGTGCAATTGGCAAAAGAACAAGGCTGGAGATGAGCTGGAATGAGAGCTGCCTATGCCCTGTGGCAAACTTCTGCTGGCGCCAGTCTGCCCATGACGGTTCTGTCCCCACTAGATGCAGTCTGGGGAACTGGGCGTTAGGTGGAAGGGCGCAGTCCTACCATTCAGGCAGAACTGGCTGAGAATAAGGGAGGAGCATGTGGCATTTTACCTTCCCCACCCTAAAAGCTGTCTCCCCACCAAAGTCCTGAGTGTACAGCCCCACCAGCACCCCTCCTACCTTCGGGGTACTTGTACTTCTCGGTGACGTCCATGCGGGAGTAGCTGCCTACCGCCTTCGTGCTGATGTACCTGCCGATGGTGTCAGTTTCCGAGGAATTCTGCCTCTGGGAGTTGCGGCGGGCATCGTAGATCCAGGTGATGCGGTCGGCATTGACCTCCGCGAAGATGAAGGGCATGTCGAAGTCCAGGTGCACATCGCCCTCTCGGACAGCCGTCACCGAAGCGGGGCCGCACTGGAACACCCCTAGGGGCAAGGGTGCAGGGGTTGGATGCATGCAAAGCCAGGCCCATCTGCAGCAGCCCACCCCCGCGCCCTGGGGGCCATCCGCAACCACCCAATTCCCCTGCCTCTACCCTGCAAACTCCTTCAGCCCTTACGGTCCACAGTCTGCCCCCTTCATGTTGGCACTCAGCACAGATTGTCCCAGGCCACCATTATCTTCTGCAATGGCGCCCTGGTCAGACTCCACCTCTTCAGAAGACTGGCTCAACCCTGCATTCTGTGGGTGTGTAACTCATGCTGACCCACTGCCCTCGGTCTTGCTCTCTTGCACTCAGGATTGCCTCTTTTCTACATCTGCAAATTATTCTTCCCAATCATCGCACCTCTATTCCTGGAAGACTTCCCTGAACACCGAGCCCACAGGAGTCTCTTGCTCCTCTGAGCTACCAAGCCCTGACCGTCACCTCCTTTCTGTAGCACTAGGGTGGGTAGTTAGCTCCAACAGATAGATAGAGAGACAGAGAGATAAATAGATAGACAGATAGATGATAGATGGATGGGTGGATAGGGAGGTAGGAAGATAAGTAGATGGTAGGTAGATAAGTAGATGGGTAAGTAGGTAGGTAGATAAATAGATAATAGGTAGATAAGTGGATGGATGAATATAAATTAGATATATAGTTTCATTCATGAAGTGCACAGCTGGAAAAAAACAAGGAGCAACAGAGTAGAAAGAAGGGTATTATCCCATTTGTATTTACAAAACAAATAAAAAAGAAACACACACTTTTATGTGCTTAGAACAGTCACCTTCAAATGTTTTTTGTTTTTTTTTTAAACCATGACCTCTAGAAATAGATTTTACACCTTGGCATATATATGAGCCTGAAACAGAAGTTTCACATGACAGGGCTCACTCTTACTATGTCCAATGCCTCCTGCTATTTAATTTATTTTATTTTATTTTCCTTTTCTTCCCCCAACCCCTTTCCATGCCATCCTATTTCATTTCCTAAAATGATGGTCACAACTCACTAAACTTGATTTTTTGTTGTTGTTAACCCTAACCCCAGGATATTTTTTCCATTGATTTTTAGAGAGTGGGAGGGAGAGAGGCAAGGGGGTGTGGAGAGAGAGGGAAAGAGAGAAACATTGATGTGAGAGACACATCAACTGGCTGCCTCTTGAACGCGCCCCACCCGGGCAGGGGATCGAACCTGCAACCCAGGTACTTGCCCTGGACTGGGAATAAAACCTGTGATCTTTTGGTGAGGGCGGCCAATGCTCTAACCACTGAGCCACACCGGCCAGGGCCCACTAACTTGATTTTATAACCATTAATGGGTTGCAGTGAAAAGTTTGAAAAACAGTCATCCGGAAAATATCTGGAGGGTTGCTGTCCCCTCCCCAAATCGCCCAAATCTGGTTGCATTCGTTGCTTCTGGTAGAGAGGCTGCAGCTGGGGGACTTCATGTTCATTGTAATGGTTTGAAAAAAATTTTTTAAAGCATGCGCACATATTACATGTATAATCAACTTTTTTAAGTTTGGGAGAAATAAGGAAAAATGAATATAATAGACAATCTTGTGCTAGGAGGGACAGACTACTAGAGGCGGTACAAGAAAGTCACTGCTGGCAGAGGACGGCTTCTTTTCCTGTTGCCTGGCACGCGCCAAGGCCCCCGCAGCAGCAAGAGCAGCTGTGTGGGCACAGGGAAGGCACCCCGTTAAATAGCAGCCTAAGCCCGGCAAAATTAGGACAGGAAATCTACTTTGGAAATATATATATTTTTTATCCCATTGTGACCCAGAGATGGAGAGGACTCAGGTGACTTTCCGATGCCACTGTCCATTACTGTAAAGAATTGAGAGGCTGTGACTTAGAGCCAAACCTAGAGAAGGGGGCCATCAGTGGGCCAGCAGGGGGTTACCTTGGCTCCTCTCTTGCGGGGTGGCGTCCAGAACCTGCCATCCATTGTACGTGGAGCCCAGGTCATTCCGCACAAACCAGGCTTCATTCCAGACATGGAAATTCCTGCAGACAGAAACAGAGTCTGAAGAGCTTGCCCAAGGTCATGTAGCAGGTGAATGGTAAAAACCATATCTCTGATCTGACTGTGCAGGGCTCTGATACTCATCAAGAGAGTGTGTCCTGTGCCAGCTATTGTGCTAAACTTTGGCAAGCATTATCTCACTTAAATTCTCACAGCACTTATGAAATGGGTATTATTATTTTTTAATCCTCACTGGAGGACATGGTCACTGATTTTAGACAGAGAAGAAGGGAGAGAGAAAGAAAGAAACATCGATGTGATAGAGAAACATTAATCAGTTGCCTCCCTCACTCATCCTGACCAGGGATTTGAATCCACAACCTAGGTATGTGCCCTGACTGGGAATCAAACTCGCAACCTTGTGGTACACAGGGTGACACTCCAACCAACTAAGCCACCTGACCAGGGCTGAAATTGGTACTATTTCTATGCCCGTCTCACAAAAGGGGAAACTGGGCTCCGAGAAGTTAAGCAGCTAACCATGACAGAATCAGTGTGGACCCAGGTATGCCTAACTCCAAAACCTAGGTCCTTGACCACCATGTTCTCCTGCCTTCTTGAGGAGCAGAGCAGACCTAGGTTAGAGCCAGTGAAGCAGCAGGTAAACCCACACAGCTTATTCTTGTGTGTCCTGTTAGGGCACGCTATTATATTTTGTGTGGGCTGAAAATGAACGGGGCTGCAGTAAGAGTGACATGTCTTGATAGGAGCCACAAAGCCTGTGGGCTGAGATCTGGACTGAAGAATGGCCAGTCCTAAAATGCTCTTTATCAGCGACATTCCTTTGTCTCCCAGTTGGTAGGTCTCGGTCACTGGTCGCCTCCCTCACCAGGTATTGCCAGTTGGCCAACCTCTTACTCATCCTCGGCTCTGCCCTCTTCTTTCCTCTCCAGTCCCTCAGCAATGACATTAACATTGGGTTTGGCAGTCTGAGGTTCAACTAGAAGAAATTTTAAGTCTAACATAAATCCAAGTTCTATCCAACTTGAAAAAACAATTTCTTTTTGGTGGTCATGAGATGGAGAAGACAGTTTTAGGCAGAGTACTCTGAAGAGTGGCCAACTTCAGAAGCCATAAAGGAAAACACTGATACATTTGACTATGTAAAAATATTAAACTTGCATATACCAAACAAATAAACGAACAACACACAAACTGTGATTCTGTTTCCAACCTAGAGGAGTAAGTTCATAGCAGATAGTCCCCTCTGATGATAACAATAAACTGAAAACAATACAAAGGACAACACACTGAGAGTGAAAAAAGTGGACAGACTTTGGAAGGCAGTCAAAACCTGGAGGAAGGGGATAGCATGGGGAGAGTTGCACTTTTGGTGATTTTGCCCTAAGGATAGGCCACAGTTTGGATAAAGTGCAGGGCAGTAAAAACTCCAACAGACAGCCCACATCTTTCTGACCTGAGACGGTAAGAAATAGAGCCTGGGCCAAGCAAGGACGCTAGAGAGTGAGGGGAAAGTCTTAGAAAGGAAAGAATCAAAGAAAGAGAAACCCTAATTTTTATATAAACTCTGCCCAAGCTTCTGGGTGACTTCTTAACCATGTATGTATGAGGCCGATTACAAGCAGCCCAGCTAAAGACAAAGGTACACTGAAACTTGAGTTGCTGCTTCCCACACGTGAGACAGAGTTTGCAGTCTGGGTCCACCCCAGGTAGACTGCTAAGACAAAATATCAGAATCCAGACATACCCAATGTTCAGGATACAATTCCAAATTATTCAACATACAAAGAACCAGAAAAGCATGGCTTATCCTTTAGGGGAAAGACAATCAACAGTGATTCATCCTTAGATAATCCAGATGATTAGACAAGGACTTTAAAGCAGTTGTTATAACTATGTCCAATGAAATAAAGGAAAGTATGCTCACAACAATTAAAAAGAGGAATTCTTATCAGAAAAATAGAAACTATATATAAAAAAAAAAACAAGCTGAAAATTTTAGCTGGAAAAAGAGACCAACGTCTGAAATTAACTCCCTGGCTGGGCTTATTAGCAGACTAGAGATGACAGAGGAAAGAGTCAGTAAACTTGAAGATAGATCAGTAGAAATTATTTAATCTGAAGAAGAAAGAGAAAACAATTGAAAAAAATCAATAAAGTGGGGAAAATACATGCAACATATATGTTAGACAGAGACTTACTATCATCATATAAAGTAGTTATAAATCAATAAGAAAAATACGCAAAGTAAAAAGTCAAACACGCCAATAATGGCCAGTGAGCAGGCAATTTTCACAAGAAATACCAATGACCACTGAACATGTGAAAATAGTTTTAACTTCACTACCATTAAAAGAAAATGAAAATGACAAAGAGATACCAATATACCTATGAGACTAACAAAAACAAAAGCATAGGATAATATGCATTGTTCTATGATACTCATTCCAGGTGTGGGAAAGCCAGCACTGCTGTACACCACCGGTGGGAGTTTACATTGGTATGACATTTGTGAAGGGCAAGCTGGCAGTGAGTATGAAAAACCTTTAAAAATCTGTGGATGCAATGAGCCAGTAATTCCACTTCTAAGAATTTCTCTTATTAAAAAACTCTCATGAGCACACATGATGCTCATGGAAAGATGTTCACTGAAGCATTGTTTTTAGTAGCAAAAATAATGGAGGAAAAGTTCATTAGTAAGGGACTGGTCAGATAAATTGTGGCACAGCCATGCAACTGACTATCGCACAGCTGTTCAAAAGAATGAGCAACATCAATCTAGCACATACAGGGAAAGATGTCTAAAATACATCCTCAAGTAAGAAAAGCAAGTTACAAAACATCGTGTAGGTAATAAAGTATATGTATAAGTTTATAAAAATATGTACAAATATCATGGACCTATTTGGATTTAGAAAATAGTACATTAAAAAATCAGCACATGTTAGTCCCCAATAATTCTATTATCTTAGATAACCACAGTTTAGATAACAGTTTGGTGTATATATTGTGCATATGAACAGATTTTGGTGCATATTAAACTAAGTTTTCTGTCCATCACCCTTTATCCCCCTTATACACTCCTCTACTCCCCCCACCCCCTGCAGTACTCAACACACATCCATCTAATGTGTGTGAATATAAACAGAATGAAATGTCTAGAAGGATCTATCTCTAATATTGTTAGCATTTTTCTTTGGGCAGTTATATTACTAGAGACTCTTCTTATTTATTTACTTATTTTCTATTATTATCAGGGGAATAATTGTTTTCATTTTGCACATTTTAAGAGGCTTCCTGTGGGGACCAGCGGATGCGTGTGCAGGAGGGAGTTCTACACTGTACAGCTGTCAGGAGGAGTTAGAAGTGCTCCTTAAGTACTTATCAGGTGGATACGTATAAATACTTAAGGACTGTGACCCTGCTACATCTTTCGGGGAACAGGGAATGAAAAAGTCATCTCTGAAACAAGGCAGAGAGGGATGAGGCCATAAGAGGTGAACAAATAGATAATTAAAAATAATACCAACCAATGATATGAGTGGGAGGAAAGAATACCCTTACTCACTACTGTAATGAAACATGGGTTTTTACAATCTTTCTGGAAGGCAGTAGATTTATATGCTCAAGATTTATACATAAGAATGCTCACTACTGTGTTATTTATAATAGGAAAAAGGGGGAGATAGACAGGTAACGTAGGGAATGGAAAATAGGTAAGAGCAGGGAAAGAGATATGGTTCAACCACTCAGTGGAGTATGATACATTTAAATCTTATTTTTGAGGATTATTTAATGACAGGGAACACGTTGATGTTTTGTAAAAAAAATACATGATTTAAAACTGTTTTTGAAGTGGTTGATTTCCAAGAATGGGAAGAAGTAGGATGCATCTATCACATGCTTTGTCTTGTACCCATGCCACGTAAAATGTGTAATCCCAATTCTATAAACAACAAATAGAGAAAAGATTGGATAGAAAATGATCAGATATTAAAAAGTATGTTAAAAATCAGATTACAAATGATTTATATATTCTGAAATTTGTATAACTGTAAAAAAAAAAATCATCATAAAAATGATCTCTAAGAAGACCCACAAAATGTCTTTTTGATCAGTTAGAATTTACCCAAGAGAAAGCAGGAGTGTGGGGAGATGATCCCAGATGGATGAAAGAGGCAAGAGAGGGGTGAGAAAGCAGTAACAGTACTAAGTTTCATGTTTATTTTCTTCCTGGCAGAGAACCCTAAGGGAAGGGCGGGTTGATTAAAAAAAAAATTGTTAAGTAGCTGTTCTAATACTACTTGTAAGATGGGAATCTGAAAGAGCGGGTAATGAACAACAAGTCCTGGCTCCTCCCTCCTTCAGGAGCCAGCACCTTACTCACACTTCTTTGGGACGTGCGTGCCTTTCGGACGCCCGAAGGCAGTGCCACCATGGAAATTCTGGTTTGTCTCTTGGTGCTGCCACCCCCGGGCCTCGGTTCCCGTCTGGAGACTTTTAGTGGTAGGAACTCAGGAAAAGGACAGGCTGCAGGTGTCAGAACTGCCCAAAGCCCTGCTGAAAGATGCATTCCTGCCCCTCCTCTCTCCCTCCACCCAAGTAAACTTTAAGGAAATCTTTGAAGTTTATAAACCAGTGCCCTGGAGACAGCAGCTCAGTTTTGCTTATCTTTGAATTTACAGGGTTAAGAGACCAGGTCTGGAAAGGGACCCCCCAACCCCTACCCTTGCCACTGGTAAGCTCCTATTTGTCCTTCCAAATGCAGCTGAGAGTCTACCTCCTCCAAAAGCTTTTTTCCTGACGTGCCTAGTGAGTGCCAACCATACCTTGTGCCATCTCCGAATCTTGCCCATTCGGCCCCTTTTACTCCATAATTGCCCATCTCCTCATGCAGCTATGAGCTTCCCCAGTGTGGTTCCTTCATCTCACTGCTCTTGGTGCCCAGTGCCCAGTGCAGGGTCTGGCACACAGTACATACTTAATCATGTTTTCCGTATTGAATTACTGTGGGGCCTGGCCACCCTTGGAGCCTTGGTTTCCTTGTTACGGATCTGACTGAGGTGTTCTAGGTACGTTGGGGGCTGGCTAAGTATTAGTGGACACTAGTGGCCACAGAAAGACTGCATTGGGAGCCAGGGCCTAGGCTGATGGGTGGGGTGTCAACAGCTCTTCTCTGGAGCTGGCTGACTCCACCTCCCTGGTGACAGGGCAGGGCAAGCTCATGTGTCTTTCACCTGGAGCTCTATAAAGGCTACAAGTAGAGTCAGGTCTGTGACTCCAGAAATTGAGGAATCATGTCAAATAAATTAAGAAGACAAGTCTGAAATTTAAGATAAAGATAACTTGGCAAGCTGTTCCAAATAATTTGGTTGCTGAGCAGTCCCCAGAGACCTGTATAGTGGTCCAGAAGGGAACTCTTATAAAAGAAGGATCCCAGACTTAACTCCCTACAGAGCATCTCTGCTCTCAAGAAGTGATCACTCCAAAGCCTGGTGCCTCTTACACAAACCACTGTTATGAGCAGAATGGCGCAGAAGAATGTAATTTAAAGAAAGATCTGGAAGAAGTTGCTGAGGTCACCTAATCTAGCCCTTCATTTTACAGATGGGAGCTGAAGGAACAGAAAAGCTAAGGAACTTTAGTGGAGTCATACACTTACTTAGAGTGCCTACATGTCCTTAGCTGTTTACTTTTCTCTGGGCTTTTGTTTTCTTATTTATGAAACGAGCAGGTCCTGTCTAAGGTCCCTTCCAGTCCTAATGTTCTTTGACTCTGGAGAGTCCTGTTGAAAGAGTTTGGACACTAATTCATGGTTTAACCTTGGGCAGATCACTTCTCTTCACTGAGCCCCTGAGACAGGGTTTAGTCTTACAGAGAAGTGACATTTGCTGCCTAAATGGGAACCCAAGAACCCAGCTTCTTGTTTGGAATGGGTTGGACAGCACCCAGTCTCACCAGAGCCCTGGTTGGTGTCCAGCCAACCCCTCTGAAAAATCTCAAAGTAAGCTGTCAGATTTTTCAAACATGAGCCAGGAGTAATCATAAAAATATTCTTAGGCATCTCTCTGGTGCTCCAGAGTTTACAAAGCTGCCTGGGTTCAAAGCCCAGCTTCACCTTTCCCTAGTTGCATACCCTGGGGTAAATGATCTGTGTCCTGGTTTCCTCAACTATAACACGGGGATGATAGTGCCTGCCTTGTCACTTTTGAAGAGTAAATGTAAGCACTTAGAAAAGTACCTGGCACACATCAATTGCTCAATGAACTATTTATTAGTTGTTGCTGTTATTATTAAGTATTTTCAGATGCTTAACATCATTTGATTTTTACATGCTAATACTTTAGGAAAATCTGGACAAGCTTCTAAAAGCTTTCAACATACAAAGATTCAGATTAAAGGCTTTCTGTCCAAACCCTAATTGTCCCTATAATAATAGGTTAATAATTTCACTCCGGGCAGAGAATGACTTGTGGTTTAACTCCCCGCCCTGGATGGGATCCATGTAGAGGGGAGGGGAGAGCTCCCTTGGAAGAGGTAGCTCTTGTACAAAACGTGGGGTGAGCTGAAGTGGCAGAGAATCAAAAGACTAAAGCTGGTAAGGAAATTAAGTGAACATCTAGTTCTAGGCCAACCCTTGTAGCTCACTGATGGAGAAACTTGGGACAGAAAGGTGAGGTGGCTCACATAAGTCCTAGAGCAAGATGGTGGTGGGGTTGAGGCTAGGACTCAGGACTCTGTGTCCTCAGACCATCCAGGAGGGAAAGGGGTGGGAGAAACATCAGCGGCCACTGCTTTCTGAGGTTGGTTCACAAAAGGCTAGTGGGTCTTGGAAAGGTGAGGGGTGATGAGACTCCCAGCAAAAGTCAGAGCTTTGAGGCCTAACACCCTCCAATGATGGGGAAAAAAAAGATAGTAGAAACACTGGAATGTCTCCATGGGCCCATATTTGCCCCACTGTGATTATATTTGATATGAATTATGAAGCTAATGTGAAACAGTAACCAAGAGATCTGGGTTCTAATTCCAAATTCAGTGTAGAAACCCCACTTTCCTGCTCCCAGGAAAACTTTTTTGATGACTCCCTGAGTTGTCACACTGTCTGTCACTCACCTGGTGCTCCATACACCATCCCCAGTCCTTAATCAGCCTCTGCTAATGCTTTGCCCAAGCCCTGCTCCCTAACAGCACCAGAAATGCTTTTGGTAGAGCGACCGGGTCTTAAGCTTCCTGGTCTCTCTGCAGTTTCTAGCTTACAGGATAATCACGGAAGGATTATGCCAAAAGGGACCCCCCCACCTGCCACCAAATCAGTCATCTTGTTAGATCAATCATCTCCTCTAGTGAAGGAAACCAAGGCCAGGAATGGCACTGCCCCAACAACCAGAACAGGTTGCAGTAGGATTTTGGACAAAGCAACAAAAGAGAAAACCAGGGAGAAGAAAAGATATTCATTTAAGAGAAGCTGGAAAACAAAACCTTGCCATAAGTAGCAGTGTCACTGGAGAGAAATTTGTGTACGTGCAGATCAAGAAAGAACATCCTGAAATAGGCTTTCTCTCCCCCATTAGCACATGCGACCTTGGGTGAGTTACATGAACCTCACTGTCCTTCAGAGGGGAGCAGCTGCTTATATTATGCACTTCTGTTGTTGGCGAGGGGTTGTGTTTGTTTTGACAGTTTTCTCCATTAATTTTAATTTTCCTTTTACTTGGCTCCATTAGTTACACTATACATATTTCAGAAAAGTTGGACCTACTTTTTCTGGGAATAAGTAATAAAGCATATTTTATATAGATTATCTCAAAGTTGAAAGTCTGAAAATAAGATGGCATCCGCATTCAGGTTATCTAGCATATCTCTGTGTGGGTGATTGTGTGTGTGTGTCCTTTGATATGGATTAAAACAATGGATTACTGACATATGTGTGTCCTTTATTTATAGACACGTAGATACCTATGCTCAGAGAGGGTTAGGCACTCACCATACGCTGTCACTGCCTTTGTCCAGGGGATTTCCCATGGGGTCGTAGTACACATCCACGCTGAGGTTCCTGTCTGTGTCATGAGCGGAGTTGAAGTTGGTGATCACCCGGGAGGGAATCCCAAAAGACCGCAGCACTGCAAGTCAAGGGGCAGTGTGAGACCGTGGGTGGCAGTGGGGATGGTACCTGGAGCACCCCACTGCTGCCCACCGACCCAGCAAAGGCACGTCACACCCAGAGTACCTGTGTTGAGGGTCCCAGCAAAGACCCAGCACTGGCCATATCGGACTGGCCTGAAGCCAGAATTCTTCCAGTCCTTGAGAATCTCCACACTGCCGTTCCAGTTCCTGGGGTCCCGGCCACCTGTGTAGTTGCCACTCCAATTCCCAGCTATCACACCATTGTCATCATTGCTGTTGACCTGGGCAGGAGGAAAAAACCTCAGATGAGTCAGCGGAGAGTGACATACGAGTTCAGGGGACAGGGTGGGGAGATGAGGAAGGAAGCCAGGGAGCCATTGAGTGGATTTCCTGTGTCTTTCTAGATGATTCGAGGATGATCACTGTTACAATGTTCCCTTAGGGGTATTAAGTAGTTTATGAATTTAAAAGTGCTTTAACGGGCCATGTTTGATCACCCCTGACCCATGTATTAGTTATGAGCAGCAGGCTCACATGAGAACTGAGGCTCTATGGCTTGTCAGTGGTAAAGCCAGGTCAGAATGCAGCCTGCAGAGGGCTTCTTGCCTCAACTCACAGGCTATTGCATATATCTGACTTGGGGTCCAAGGTTTGAAACTCTCTTTTGGTGTACTGGTCTTCTAAAAGATCACTTTAGAACTTTAGAAACTAACTTCTTCTTGGAAAGAATAAAGATGGAATATTGTTCTTCATTCATTCAATTTAAGGCATGATTCTTGTGCAAGTAACACAACCAGTGTGAAAAGAGCACTGCACTAGCCATTGAGAGACCCAAGTTCCATTGTCTTTTAGAGATACATATTGAAATATTTATGAATGAAATGATGTAATATCTGGGATTTATCAAATAATTTGTGGGCGAGGGGTTCAGAGATGAAACAAGACTGGTGAGAAGTGGGTAACTGCTAAAGCCAGTGATGCGATATAGTTCATTTTACTTCTCTCTCTACTTTTGTGAAAGTCTGAACTCTGTGTTATTAAATTTCCATAATGCAAAGTTAAAAGAGAGAAAAAGAGAAACCTGGGTAACAAGCCCGGCCTTGGCACTGTCAGCTCAGTGACTGTGGGCAAGTTAATTCACCGATCTGGGCCTTAGCTCTTCACCTTCCAATACAGGGAAAACTAGAAACAAATGAGTTCTCGGGTGTCTTCTAGCAGCCAGTTTTCAAAGTTTATGACACTGTCACCAACATTTATCCAAACCTTAGCGAGAGGCTGGACCAGGGTCTCTCAGCTTATAGGCCCTGCCCCCCTCTTTGTGGGGGTCCACAAGTGGCAAAGCCTATGAGAACAGACAGCCTGGGAGCAGAAGGATCCTCACCGAGGACAGGCTAACTCGGTCCCCATGGCCCCTCCGGGTGGTGGGTGAGCTCCCGGTGCCCTCCAGGAGGGCCTGGGCTGTAATGGCAGGGTCAAGCAAGAAGGGGCCTCCTCCAAGACGGAAGACTATGCAGCCCATTCCCATTTCCTGAGTCACAAAGCTCCAGCCACCAAAGTGGTAATCAGCAGGGTCATCTCTGGCTAAAGCTGAGCATTTCGAAGCCCTGCACAGGCCATAATTAGCTCGAGGCCCAGCCCAGTCACGAGATATGGAGAGAGCAGCAGGGAGGTGTAGCTGAGGAAATTGGCCCTGATGTAAAGTGGTTTGTCCCGGGGCTGAGGGTGAGTCAGCAGCTGCTGGAGCCGGCTGGCCTCACCCATCCTCCCCTGGGCCAAGGAGGCTCAGCTTCGTAACTCACCTGACCGCCAGCTTTCCTTAACCTTGGCTTTGGCTTTGATCTCACCTTTCCTGGTCACTTGGTTTTCAAGGTTCAGCCCAGGTCCCACTTTCTCCCTGTGTCTTTCCCAGCCGCCCTGGCTCCCACTCATCTCCTCAGTGCCTCCACATGCCCTGGGCCTCCTCGCTCCTTTCCTGCAAGGTTCGGTTTGCGACTCCACTCTTTCAGGAAGCCCTCTCTGATTACCCCCAGATATTTATCATCCAGTCAGAAGGTTGTTCAAATTTCTAACCACATAATTAGCGTGGATTCTCCAACTCCAAAGTAAAGAGACTGGGACATGTCTAGTCCATTAAGAAAGAAGTTAAAGACACCTCTGTGGTAATTATTTAGTTTCAGAGGATTAAAGATCAAGAACTCTCTGACTTTTAGCTTTTTAATTTGTACCCCTTGAGCAAGTTAATCCCATATTTGGACTCTTGCTGATGGAGGCGTTCTCTACACACTGAGTACAGAGGAAGAGATTCTTCCAGGGTCTAGAGTGTGTGTGTGTGTGTGTGTGTGTGTGTGTGTGTGTGTGTGTGTGTGTGTGTGTGTGTGTTTGGAGGAGGGCAGGTCTCTCAAGTGGACAGGCTGGGTGAGTGAAAAGGCCCTGGGTGGCCAGTACGAGGCTTTGTTCTGGTTTGACTCACAGGCTGCACGCTGTGAACAAGTCACTGAGATCCTTGGGCTTCAGTTTCCCCACGTGGATATTGAATGGGTTGGCCTCTGCCTCTCTCCCCTGACATTCAAGCCCTCTGTGCTGGGGAGGGGATGGATCAAAGCAAAGGAGCTTAACACTCCAGGCTCAGGCAGGGACTTTCCTCCTTCCCAAGCAGGCCCAGGGCAGAGTAAAGCCTCAGCTTTGCATCCTCCCAGGTCTGATGGACACTAAAAGGGCACGTCCTCCTGTCATCTGAGAAAGGCCTCATGATACAGCGGAGCTGGCTCCAGCCCAGCTTCTGCCACTCCCTCACTGTGCCATCAGGCAGGTCCTTTCACTAGAGGAGCCTCACGCTCCACGTGTGCAAAATGGGGATGGTAATAGCCACCCACTGCATTTTGTGAGGCTCCGGTGAGATGACATGCGTAAGAGCGCATGTGCCTAACCCGTACTTGGGTTTGATACATGGTAACAACTAGTCATTATGGTTTTCTCATCACTCACCATTGCACTCAGCACCCGGCCAACATATTTGGGGTCCCCTCTGCGGGCCACGTCAGTAGCAGGGTCACGGCGGAAATTCAGACTGCTATCCAGGATCGAGAGGCAGATGTTCAGAATGTCTCCTTCAAACTGTTCGAAACGGAACCATATATCATGATGACAGAAATGACAAGTAGTGTCAGCTCCTTAAGGGTACTGGGGCTACGCTGGTGAGAACAAGGACAACTGCCCGGGGCCTTCCGCCCTGTGGCCTCCTGAGCTGAGAGCTACTGAGGAACAAGTACCTCACCCAGCCTTTAATCCTGCAAACTCGTCCAGAGCGCTCACGATACATGGAGGCCCTGTGCTGAGGTCCCCAAATGAACAGGACTCTCAGTGTCATGAACTTGGGAGCAAATCATTTAGCCTGTCTGGGCCTCGATTTCTCTCTCTGTGTATCAGAGGATTGGCCCAAGCTCATCTCAGAGTTTCCATCGAACTCTGACTGTGATCTTGAGCATATTATTTAGACTCCTGGGGAAGTGATAATAAAGATAAAATGCCTCTCTAAAAGAGGTATTTAGAGCCATTTTCTCAAAACAAGACTTGTTTTTAGTCAGTGCTTTTCAAATGGAAAAAGCCAAGCTCTCACTTGCCTTAGGGTCTTTGTAAGTTTTACTCCTTCTGCCCCAAATATCTACCTGACTTCCTTGCCTCCTTCAGGTTTTTGACCAAAAGTTCCTCCCAGGAGAGGCTTGCCCAGACCATGCCATCAAAAACAGCCCCTTTCCCACTCCTGGATGCAGTCTATGTCCTGACCCATTTCCCCCTCTTTTCTTTCTTTCAATGAAATTCGACACAGTACCCCAACATAGAAAATATATCGCAGACTTGCTCGGTTTGACTATAGAATGGGGTGTGGGGGTAGGCAGAACATGCACCTTCCGCCTCCCCCTGCGTATCCACAGCATCCCACCCAAGTTACCTCATTCTAATGCCTTTGTTTATCCCCTAGAAGAGAAATGGTGGAGGGAATCCCTGAATGTTTTCTAGGTTGAGCAGACCTAGAAACTCTGTGGTCTCAGATGGAGGGGTGTGTGTATGTGTGGTCACAGGAAGGTCACCATTGGAAGGTTAAATGCACACAGCAAGGAAGTTTCATCACATTCTCACATGGAATGAGTGAACAGAAAAACTGCATTTTTGTCCCAAGTGTCTCTCCTGGGCCTTATCCTCATTTGTGGATCATGGCACCAATACCACATCATTGCATCAGTTTAGTTACAAGTCTCTCTTGCCCACTAGATTGTGACCGTCTCAAAGACAAGAAATCTGCTGTATTCATCTCCTGTGGCCTTACTATGCAGCCAGGGCCTGGCACATAGCAGGTGGTCAGTAAATGTTTTCTGAATGAATGAATGGAAGGACAGGCAAATAGACAGATTTGGGGACTTCTGCCTGTCTGTGGGGCCAGCTGCTGAGCTTCTTGGGTAATAAGAATATCAGCCCCAGCCTCCCTCTGACCCTTTTACCTGTCCGAAGTTCCAGCCAACCATGCTAATTCGATTTGTGCTTCCCACAAAAATGGCACCGGCATCTTGCAGAACATACTCCTCTCTCTCAGCTTGGTTATTCATAAAGACACTATCCGCTGTTTGATACAAAAATCAGATACTAGGGATGAGAATCCTACAGAGGGCTACAGAGACCAGTCCTCCCACTCCTGAGTACTGGCCTGAGAGCTGGAGCAAGCCATGCCTGCAGCCTCCCCACCGTCAGCCTCCACTGGGGAAGGAAGCTTTGGGCTATAAAGCTTCCAACTCATACAGTGGGAACTATGACTTTGAAAGAGAAGCTGGGATGATCTGAGAGTCTGGAAATGAGACCCTAGGAATGGGACACTTGCTCCTTTAGGAAAAAGGCTATCTCTGTGTTACAGAATTGTACTGTGGTCATCTCCCCTATAATTACATCATACTATGCAGTTTGTAAAAGATCATGAGATTCCTGCAATACCCCCAAAGGAAATAGCAGGATGTCCATTTTATGATGAGCAATTTGAGCTTCAGAAAGATAGAGAGGCTGCCCAGACTCACATAGCTGGTTAAGTGGCAGGGCTGGGACTCAAATCTATGGTTTCTGACTTCTAGCTTCTATGCTTTTTCCATATCCCACAAACTTTACCTGATCAAACCTGAGCCCATGAAAACCACTCCCCTCATCTCCTTTCCCTGGGCATTGCTTAGCTGATGGCTGGGAGTGTGGGTGGTTAGGCATGTACCTTGTGACCAGGGGTTAAAGAGCAGTATAAACATCCCAAGCTTCAGAGTAAAGTTGTTGCCCTGGGAGGAGACCTGCAGGCTCAGCGTGTACCATCCTATGGGTGCACTGGCAGGACTGGAGATGGAGATGGTCAGAGTATTGTCCCTCTGGGACAGGAGCTGTGCATACCAGCTGCCACCACTTGTCCCACTGGAGAGTGGAAACACAGCCTTCGTTTTGGCAGATTCTGATGGGGAGGGCCCTGGAAAAGAAGAAGAGGTCAGTGGAAACCAAGGAGCGCTAGCTAGACTATGGAGAGAGATCAGATTCCAATACAATCACAGGGGCCCTTCAAGGGACATCATCCAAGGAAGCACCACATTATAGTGCTGGAAGCAACTGGAGAGACAGACCATGTAGGCCAAATTCCTCTTGACTTGAAGACTAGGACTCTTGAGCTCAGAGACAGGCAGAAACTCGCCCAAGGCCACATGGAGTCAATGGCAGAGACCCCAGAGCCCAGTGAACCCAGGGTCACCATCACCCCCTCTTGGATGCACAACCCCATGGGCTACTCTGGCGTGTATGTGGGAGGGGGAGCAATGAGCAGGTACCTGTGGAGGCGATGAACCCCAGACTCTCTCCAGATCTAAGAAGTCGGTTGAAAGTCAATGAAAAGGTGAACGGTTGACCTCTTCGCAAGATGAGCTCCTGGCTGGAGTACCTGTCTGTGAGATGTGCTTGCCGGTTGGCAGTCGTCTGCCAGTTGATATTCTGGGGTTTTAAATCTGTGAGACAGAAAAGAGAGGATTGTAGGTCCTCTGTGGCATGGGATAGTGGCATGGGGAAAATGTATGTTACCAAAGGGATAGCTTTTAGGCAAGACTAGTAAGGGCGGAGCCAAACTTCTAGGAAAAATCACGTTAAAATCAATAGACCTTGGTTGAGCATAGCAAGAACTTCACAACTTCACAACCTGTTTCCCTCCGCCCTTTCAGGCAGCTGGACCTCTGCATACACTGTTGGAACCCCTGTGAATATCTCCCCCCTCTGTCATGCTGTCACTCAGCCCTCAAGGAACAGGCCAGGTGTTCAGTGTAGCTTTACCCAACCAGCCAGGAGAACTGCGTAACCAGAGCACCCACATTCTGTCCACTTGTAGCACCATTCCTTGGTGGGTGGGGGCTCAAATAGAATTGGGAGGAGGCTACTTTCCTGAAATCCACTTCCCTGGTTTGGCTTGTCTGCTTTCCCCTTTGCATCTCCCAGATTCCAAGTGCCTTTTTACCACTCCAACATCCAGTAAATGCTTACTTGTGTATTCTGTACTGTATACGTGCAACACCTTGGTGTTGGCCTGGGCCTCTGATGCTGACGAGAACAGCATGGCTCTGAGCAGCATTCATGGGCCCAGAGCCTGGACTTTCAAATACTCACTGGCAAGAGCAGTATGAAGGAGCAGGCCAAAGGCCCATGAGATCTCTGGATGATACCCCGAATGCAAACACCTCGAAATTCACTGCCTCCCCACCTCTTCTCACATGACTGTGGAGGTGACGGAGCTACACTGAGAAGTTTATGGGAGGCACCATGAGGTATGAGGAGTTTAGCTTCTATAAATCTTTAAAGTGTTTCATTCCTCTGAGCTATGCTTGAGATGTTTCAACATCCATGCCTCTGCAAACCAAACTGATTTCTGTCTTTATGATGAGACCACAGCTACGAGACTGTGGAGGCACATCCCAGCGCCAGGCAAACATCTCTTTATATGTGTCTGTCTCTTCATCAGAATGGGCCTTCTTGATTTTTGCGTTCTGATGCCTAGTACATTGTTGACTACATTAGGACAACTAGGTCAACAAGGGAATGAAGGAGTTAAATGAACAAACAAAAACTAATGTCATGCAATGGCCATCATGGCTATGGGGCATTCATTCAATAAATGCGTGGAGAGTACCTATTATCTGCAGGACACT